AATTAAATATTATATCTATAGAAAGTTGTATTATTTGTACAGACAAAATAAATTACTATTCGTGTAAACGTCATAAAAATCGATATGACAAATTGTTTACAATTGAATTTTCGATTGATGAGATTAACCTAGAATATATGAAATATGTATATATTATTTATATATTATATATCATATATAACATTAATTGCGCATACATTATGTATAACATTATGTTATTATAGATGCTTAGAAAATGTGCGTTACAACCGTATATAAAAATAGAAGACAATACAATCATCTCGTGACTTGCAATTGTATGCTCCTTGAGACGAGTTCACGCAGAAACAAAAATCGAAATACGAAAAATAGAAAATCGACATCTGCGTATAAAATATAACATACCTATTAGGAAAGCTCGCACTCTAAGAGGCTATAACCTTAATATTTTGGTACCTATTTTCTAATATTGGTAATTAGTATGAATCTATATTAAATTACTCATATTTCGATACTTTTTGATACTGGCCGTATGGATTTCCTTTGAAAAGAACAGTTATACAATTATTTATTAATTCAACTGTAGTACTGAAATATTTATAATAATAAGACTCTAGTTAAATGTAAGTATTTCTAGTTTTTTGATTTTTGAATTATAAATACAAATATTAAAATGGAATAATTAGTATCAATATTGGTAACTATACGTACTTATAGGTACCTAACAAAGACAGACGGACACAACGGGGATAAAGTAGTCTGTAATCTTCTGTTTATTAACCCAATATAATACTGTTCGTCTTTTCTTTTTGTTATTGTGGCATCGACGACGCTGTCGGAACTGCTTATAAGCATTACGTCTAACCACTCTAACCTATACATGCCCATCTACCGATCCAAGTATAGATACTGAATTTGATTTTTTTTTTTTTGAAAAATGACATCGAAACTTTTGTAAAATATCGTGGTCGAGGCCAACCGAGTAAGCAGCCGCTAAACTGCATGCCCACCCACCCATCATGCACGTTTACTGAACGATATAATATATTATGGGTACGTATGATAATATTATTATTGTTATATTATTAGATAAATCGTACAATAAATACAACCACGCGTATCCCATCGATCCAAAGTCTGTTTGGTTTCGATCCGACCGACAAGGCACTGACACGGGCGAACGTGTCAGCGTACTTATATACTTTACATTTATATATGCCTATAATTTATTATTAAATAAACAGACGCACATATTTTTCGTTCCACGTCGCACCGTCGCGGAGAATGCATGCTAATTGTGTGGCGCATACCAGTTTACCCGTTCAAGTCCTTTTAGGACGGTCACCTTTCACAAGTGACATTTAAACCTGCAGCACACGGCGGCCAATGTACGGACGATGTAGTTATAATATTATTATTATTATGATGGTGCACCGCGAGCCCGAGAGGGTTATACCCGCCTCTCCCGGCGGCGGCGGCGGCGGCGGCTGAGGCGCATTCGTTCGCGTCTTTATGTCGTCCGTATGGGGCCGAAACGAAAGAAATTAACAATCATTCCGCCGTATATTATTATACTACATAGCTGTATAAGCGCATGCCGCCGCCGCCACGGGCTGTCCGACGAAAACACGTTGACAGCCGTCACGGCTAAAACGCTTTTCGATGATTTTTTCCCTTCCCCGTATAATTAATAATAATGTATACACCGCGCATAATAATTTGGAACACGCCATTTTCATCTCGGCAGAACATATTTTAATTGATCGCTCTTAGAATATACGTGCAAATGCAATGTGCATTATACACTGCATTTAGTCGCGCGTGGCGGTGATAACAATTATTGTTACTGGAAAAATAAAATGACACAATATAACATAAACTTCATTTGATAATCAAAAAAAAAAAACCAGTATGGCTCCGTGTTTCAATAGCTAGTCAAACGGTTATTTTATAAAAATTGTATTCGTTTAAGTCTCGTCATTTTGGTACTGGTCCAACATAAGAAAATAATATTCTACCTCGCGATTTTTAGTCAGTACCTATTATAGTATATACCTAGTCGTGCCATAAGTTGGGTCCATACATTTATTGATCATTGTTCGATAAATGAAAATCTCACCCCCCCGGAACCATTTCAAGCATAATTAAAAAAGACTTTGGTCTTGGTGCTTATCGGAAAAGCACTGGTCAGCAGTTGACGGGAGTTCTATGTAAAATTAGAGCGACGAGACCAAAGAAGTTACTTCATCAGTACGCGAAAAAATGGTCACAAACAAATACTCTTTACAATTAAAAAAATTAAACCTTCAAAGTTATAAAGAGTATGCTCACAGTTTCGAGAGGCTGTTGAAAAAATTCAAAGAGTAGAAAGGGGAAATCATCCAGCGTCAGTGATGGTTTTTGGTGGCAAGTGTCATAATATGAGAGCGTTACTCAGCTGCATTACTGTGAGCAGTGAGTGAAAACACGTGCGATTCATTACCAAAGTGACGTTTTAGAAAAAGTACTGAAGCCTTAGAGTGATACATTGCTTGTAGTAAAATATTGGATCTTTCAACAAAATTCAGAGCTATTGGCTCATAGAGCAAAAACGACACAATACTGGTTTGAGGTAATTTACCTGAACTTATCACTAGCCAAGATTAGCTATCTGGAAGTCCAGACCTATACCCTTTGGGCTGCCGACTCTGGAGTATTTTAGAGAAGAAGGTCTGCTCTTATTACATCAAAATATCGAATTATTAAAAGCTAATTAGATAAAATCAGGTGCTTCAATACCGTTAGAAGTGGTGCCACAAGTAATTAACGAGTGGCCAGATTGTTTGAAGAAGTGTGTATGAGAGAGGGGGACATTTTGAATAGTTTTATTTATTTTTAGTTTTTTTCGTAGGCGATTTCAGATAATCCGGTGGTGATCAATCCATCCATACCAGGATATATTATTATATGCGAAACATAAATTATCGGAAAATTATGATATTGGTATATTATATGACATATGAGAATACTATCAATATAATATAATAATGTCTATATAGGCGGTACCTACTTACGTTTATTTCGACATGTGCGGGAAAAATTGATATCTAAGAGTTCATTGACGTAGACGGTGTATAACATATTATAGAACAAAAATCCTAATTTACGCATATAAATAAATAGTTTTCACCATTATCCTTCATTTAAACATAAGTTTACCTCTCTTTCCAAATTCAAATGTAGGTGTATATATAATATAGTACCAGTAGGTAACGATTTAATGTGTAATACACGTATACACGTTATGCTGGTTATAGTTAAAGAATTGTTTCTAAACAGACCCACTCGTAGTACCGATGGACTTAAAACGGTTACGAAATATAGAATCTATATAGTTAATAAATCGAAGTACCAAAATATTTTGGAATTTTAACGTGGGTAAGGGTAATAGAGAAGATCTATATTTTATTCAACATTCAAACCTGTTTTTAATCAAAAAATATTATTTATTATATATAGCGCAATCATTTTTTTGTTTTATTATAATATGGCAATGATTTACAACTCAATGTATGATTATTCTCCAATTTCATTATATACATATATTTTATTAGAACTCAAATTTCCACTCACTTTATGAATAATTATACATTCCCATAATGTATATTTTACAGGCATATAAAATCTATCATCTATGTTTGCCTATTCAATATTTAATTGTATAAAAATATAATATAATAATAATAATATTAATTAGCTATCTGCAAATAAATTCAAATGCAATTCCAATGAAAAAAGAATAGCGAGAATTTATTTTTACAAACATTAGATGATTCAAATGATTTAATGTAGCTCGCGTTTGGGTGCACTTGTATTTTGTAAGTTAATTTGATGAGTCGTTCGATGTTAAATAATATAAAAAGTCGAGGTTCATAAACAAATAAACGATATTATACCGTAGTATTATAACACAACCCACGTATTAATTTAAGTGCGCGACTACTTCCCAAATTACATTTTTGTATAATTACGACTTTATGAGTTGAGAGTATAGCATTTAAAATTTTGTCCACATCAGCTTATGAACAAACCGAAGAGCCAATAGAAAGAGAACGTAAATAAAACGAGTTTTTAATCATAAATCATTTCTGCGCGTATTACATTATTATAAATGTAAAATAAATTCATATTAAAGCCACTTATTAAAAGGGAAAGTACCTAATGGGGAAGGTGAAAAAAAATAATCCAACTTAAATAATCAAGTAAATGATTGTCAATGTAATAATAATATGTCGAACTAACGTCTAACAAGTACACGGTTTTTAACGGAAATCCATTGTAATACTTGGTAGGTACTTAAGAACATATTTTATTATTATTATTATTATTATTATGTTAGATATGTGTACCAACCAACAATTTATTGATGATTCAATTATAATACCGGTTTTATTCAAATTGAAATTTGAAAAAAAAAGTTGCGTTTAACAAGTACGGGTGTATGTGTCATGTGGGTATCAACATTTTTTTGTATAAAAAAGAAGACATGACAAACGAGTACAGTCAACAGGTGTTGCATTTGGATAGAATCATAAATCGCAATCATTGAACGCTATCGAAGGATAAGCCTCGTTATCGGGCATATATAAGTATATTTTCATAAGTAATAACTGATCTGTCTGTTGTGTGGAAAAGCTTTTTACTACAGAGTAGGGAGACCCCAGGACGTGCCAGAAGAACATCCGCGTCCTACTATTTTCGGACGGAGAACAAAACTTTTCCTACTCAAGACGACTATAAGATAACACAAAGTACATCTAAGTGGCAATAACTCGAAGATGAAGGTTGAAAAACATATTTTTCGACGTAAAATGTATTGTTCGAGATACCTAACTCGAATTTAACCTAACCGAACCCCATGGGGAATAAAACAAAAAGTCAAATTTTTCGAACCATCTTGATTTAAGCTATTGCGACTCGGCTGCGTTTACAATAATAGCAGGACTCGTACGCCAAAAGGATAAGCAGGGTGACAGACTTACCTGGAGTGTTGGTCTGCTGTTCGGTGCCGTCGCGGCCGAACGGCGCTCTTTCCAGTTGTGACGTGACCATGGTTACCGCACTGGTAGCGGCGGCCGAAGACGAGGAGGAGGATGAGGATGACGACGACGACGGTGGTGACGACAAAGAGGAAGCAGAACGCAGAGAAGAGGACGAGGAGACGGCGGATTCGCGTGGTTCGGCGGCGGACATCGCGAGCGTTACGGCTGCGGCGGCTACAACAACGACAATACGTATAGACCACGACCAATTGTATCGGTTACGTGTCTTCCACATACTTCCCACAAACGCTCAGGTCGGCGGCGACGTCGTTACACACGCGACTGGCGGCCAATAACAACTCATCGGGCGGCCGATAATTGCACCGGCATCATGACTATACGGCCAGGCTGCAGACGATTGTCGCCGCAGTCGCGGATTCGGTTGCAGTTGCTGCTTGTGGTCGCGGTTGTCTGTACCGTAATGTATCGCCGCCGCCGTCGTCGTCGTCGTCGTCGTCGTCTGGTGGTGGTGCACGCTTGACGCTGTTTTTTCACTGAATATTTTTATTATTGTTGTTGTTGTTGTTGTTGTTGTTGTTGTTGTCGCGTACACTTCTATACGGTGTACCAGCTAATCGTCCAGCTAATGTGCTGGGTGGTAAACGGGTCGTCTGTCGCGGACAGTGATCGCGACATCGCCACCGACGCCGCTGCCGCCGCCGCCGCCGTGGTCGTCGTCGCCACCGCTGCCGCCGTTGTCGCCACCGGCGACGATTTTTTTCTCCCAGTCACCGGTGTCGCGGTCGTCTAATGCAACAACAATTTAATGTTGCCGTATACGACTAGAATATATTATTACACGCGAGTCGCGTCCAACAAACTACCTCGGTACACTTTTGCCGCGGTTATTTTACTATCAGTATATTATGATATTAATAGTAGTGCAGAAGTAGTACTAGTAGTGGTGGTGGTTGTAGTAGTAGTAGTAGTAGTAGTAGGTGTCGTAGTAGCAGCTGTTGTAGTAGTAGTAGTCGCAGTAGTAATGTACTAGTAGTAATAAGTAGTATTGGCGGTAATACTACTATATTGTGATTGTATAACTTTCGCCGGTAAACATAATATGAAATATATTTGAATATATATATTTTTTAAATGATTTAAAAAAATTACGATCGGTGAAACAAAAATTATTCGCGGTCCGTCCGTAGAAAAAAAAAACGGAGCAACAATAATATAAAATATTGTTATTATTTATTGTGTACTTCGCCCGCGTCGTCGGGGGGGAACACACCCGGCAGATATCGTATGCGAACGCGTGTAAGACGTCCGACGGTCGGCGGACACTGTATAAAACACACGCGCGCACCGCAGCACACCAGTGTGCCGGCCGGTCGCTGCCGTCGCCGCCGCCGTAGTGTGGCCGGTGTGCCGCGCATGCGTAACCGGCGCGCACCACGTGTCCGACACCTATGCAGACAAGGTTCAATTCTCAGCGCTGCCGGTGGTCCCCCGGCCGGCCCGTGGGTTTCTCGTACGCGCCGAAGACGGCGGCGACTTCTTCTTCGACGGCACACGCCACCAACGCCGCCGCGTTTGTCGTATTTTACGTAGTACGGCGTTGTGCACCGGTCATTATATTATTATTACTATTATTAAAATGTTTATCAACCGTCGCCGTCATTTCAACAGTCGTTACGCGTTGGAAAAAGTGTTTTTTTTTCGTTTCTCCACTTGTTAGTTGTCGTTATCATCGGCGTCGTCGTCGCTACGAAAAAAAACTCTTCTATGTACGTGGCATATAGGTTCCTAAGATGAGCTGTTACAAGAGTCGACAATTGAGTCATAGGAAGCCCACTCGCGAGTCCCAAATAAAAATGAAAAATGTAAAAATACCATATAAAATGTTTTTCGTTGGTGTACTAAGTACTTGCAGGGGCGCATTGGATTTGACACGCAATGGCACGACGTGTATATTATGGGCACGTATAACCACAGTGCCAAAACTGGGTAAAATACTAGGGGGGGGGATAATTTATTCACCAAGATCGAAACCACAACCTGATTGCTTGTTTTTAGTTCTTACACGAGTCTTATGAAACTAATTGTATGGTTAACTTAGAAACAGACCATATGTACTAATGTCTAATTTACTTCCCCATATCGTCAAATGTTTACATAAGGAGGCACACGAGACTACGAGACATACAAGAAGTACATAAAAACTTGTTTGAAAAAAGTTATGTGACTATAATCCTGTAAGCATGATTTATAAAAATAATAAAAATAAATATTATTAGGTTATTTTTGTAACTCAGATAATGCCATAAGTTGACATACGTCAACAAATTGAACAACAGGATAAACGTGAAATAGCTGCATTTACAAGAAACCATTTGAGAAAAAAAAATTTTTATCCGACACATAAGAATCATACATTACGTTGAATGTATGGCATTCTGTCTTTATTTTTGAGGATTTGAAAATTCCACTGTTGGCATATTTGGGCACTCCCCCAAGAAACGATACCTTAGCCCAATCCCGCTAAAATACCAGGATGCTAGTGCAGCTCACTGACATCAGCAAAGTGAACATTTTGTATTTCCAAAGCTAATACTCTGCATGTTTGACATTGATCACCACCGCCTAAATTTATCACTCGAACCACGGGTCTTACGCTTACCACTTTTACCCACAGATCAACATTGGTATACAACAATATTAAGTATAGGTGCCTTAATATTAGTTGATTTTCTCTAATATTCTCTACGATTTGTAGACGCCAAATATAATGAGTCTATTATTAACGTAGATAGATATACTCAAATATTAAATGTAATTACTAATTCGTGGTTTTACTGATTACAGCTTACAGGGTATATTATTTTTAAGTATAGTTTATCGTGATTAGTTCTAAATATTATTTTTTCTGATGAATATTAACATATTATATTATATTAATATGGGCCATATGTGTATGTATTATTTATTAGTAAAAAACCGAATCTGGACCGACTGGACCAATTTCCTCCTCTGTCTATTTTTTCGGAGTATGAATAATTCTTATTTTACAATAAATATATACATAATATATAACATCTATGTTTGATTTTTCTTTATAAAACTTACTTATATTATCACATACACGTGTATATCTCATAAGGTCTTTACGGAAGACTCAGTCTATATTATATTATTTATATACTTCTATACAGAAAATAAGTGTTTAATCATAAAAACTATTATAAGAATCGGCTATAACTATGGCCTGGATTTAAATGCTCTAAAAAATAAATCCAGAATCAAAACATTGCCTGGGACTTTCAAAAACAATGCATTGGGTGCAAAATGAAAATGGGAGTATGTAATTTGCACCAAAACCAACTAAAAAAAAATATGTATAAACGTGTGTAATTTGCGCCACATCTTAATTTTTGGTGATTTCAGCCATTTTTTAAGTTTGTAGTTTGTACCACATAACACACCACTAACAAGACGTGTAATGATACCAATAGATGAACTATATCCTATAGGTATTGAATAAGAATACGTGTAAGCAAGGACTAGCCTATTTGAGTTTTATTTTGAGAAAAATAATTAGGTTATTATAATAATATAATATACCTATACAGGATGATATTTTAACGTACAACAATCATTATTTCGAAAACAATTAACACTTTTCTTTTAACGGTGATTGTATATCAAGAACAGTTTATGCTTTAATACCGTCAATGGGGTGAAGCTTCCTTAGCACCCATGTGTACGCTTCTGTTTTAATGTAAATATTATCATAATACAATAAAAATATGAAGGTACTTGGTCTCGATCCCCGAAACATTTCCTATCAGTTCCGACGGTTAGGTCAGGTTATATTACGGATACCAGTAGTTCTCAAGAACTATACATGATGGGCAAAAGTGTGCGTGTGTGTGTGTGTGTGTGTGTGTGTGTGTGTATGTATGCGTGTCTTAAAAAAAACGCTTATTATAGTTGTCATTGTACCTGTATAGTATATAGACCAGTGAACATAATACTTTTATAATGAGCGGGTACCTATAATCTACTCGTATAAAATTATGTAGTACTACGTACCAATGTAGAAAATATGTTTTAGAATTTCCACAATTTCGCGGAATTTAGAAAAAATAGTGCAGTGCCACTTTTAACGTACTCGTGATTATTATTATGTACAATAATATAATATATGATACGAGTATTAGTACTTTTAAAATTTTACGAGGAAAGTGCATACCACAATAACTAATAAGCCGGATAATGATCAGTACATTTCTGACTCATTACGTTTATATAATATAATAATAATTACCTATACCTAGTACCTACCTACCTACATTAATAAAATGTCATTCTGCAGTCGATACCGCTGAACAACCACAATAAGCATACCTACCTAGGTCACATTAAAATCGAACTCGAATCAGTGTAGTTCCTAGTGTATACCTATATTTTGTTAACCGTATTTAATATTTTCATTAGCTCAGGTTTTTAGTTTCACTAGACTTTTGAGTAGAAAAAATGTACCCGATCAAATTCAATAAGCTTACGCACAATATATCGTATGATTTACAGTACATCAATATACGTTATAATAGGGCAATATAGTGCAATAGACGTATGCCACGTTAGTATATTTCCACTCATTTGGGCACAATATGCACAATCGATAGGTTAATGTCATATAATACATCGAAATGAATTTACCTTAGGAAATACCTAATATAGGTTATTGCAGGCTATTGTAGTATTGTCGTCATCCAATTAGTTCTGAAATCCTATTTAAAGCATATACATATTATACATATGAACAGCCGAAGCACTTTTTAATCAATTTAATATTATATTATACGATTTATACGTAGGTAAGCAAGAACAACACGTAATACGTATACGGTATACCTACATGACTCATCGCCAGAAGGACTTTTAGGCGCGAGCCGTTCGGCGCGACAGGACGTTTCATCATTTCAGCGTTGTCGAATTTTTTATAGCTAACCATTCGGTATTATAATATTCGATTACAGTACACCATAAACGCATGTCGATTAATAATATATTCGCTTTCGCTCTGTAAAACGGTTGTAATAAAAATGGCTAGTTTTGCATTACTGGTTTTATTTTATTTGTCTTATCGTTATTCGTTCGTGACATATTACGGTGGTGACCAGTCCTAATCAGATGTTTAAGTCGATAATATTATATCAGTTAATAATAAGTGTGTACTATATTTAAAATTACGTCTTAGGCTCTTATGGGTGACGAAAATTTGCGGACGCGAATATTAGCTTTTGCACGCCGCCGCTAGTTTTACAAACTATAAATAATAATTTAAATTTGTAGTCAAGATTGTGTTCAAACTGTATGTTAACTTTTCAGCTTTAGAATATCGGTTAGTATACATATATTACGCATAATTAACAAAAATGGCAATACTTGAAATCATTCAAACCTACGCCCGTAGATCCTCAAAAAATAATAATTTTTTTTTCATCAAGTATCACAAATGTAAACATTACCACTTCCATCAATATAAATATTAAATAGGTACCTAATTAATAATAAGTAATTGGTGTCTGCTAAATATTTTAAGTCTCTGGCAGTAGAGCATTTGATATTGGGTTTCCGTCAGTCACATCCACGGAATTGAACGTTTCGACGTCTGTCGAATCGTCTGACGTGTCAGAAATGATACTTGCCACCACATAGAAGTTAACGAAATCGAGACAATGTCGTCCGTCTCGTCATCTTTGCTACCGGTTTGGCCAGTCGAATCCGACGGGCTGCAGTTAAGTTTGACACACAAGTTTGACATCACAGTTTGGTGATGGAGAGTCTAAAAACGGCTCGACCGATCCGCCGGACCACGAGACAATTGGTTTCCAACACACGGTAACCCGGAGCCGCCGTGGAGATGCAAGAACGGACCCGATGGTAACAGCGGTCAGTCCCAGACGAAGAGATCTGGTGAATGTTTGGTTGTGATGCTATTGACATTTAGAGTTTTTAAAGTCTTATAAAAAGTGGCACCGGCTTTTAAACGTCGTTGTGTGCTTTGGAAGTTCGCACACCCACTCCGCTCTCACTGTTTTCGCGGCTGTGTAGTATGTCTGCACTTTTGTATCCGGCTGGTCGTGTTCGCTGGACAACCCTTTTGACGAATTTTTAAGTCCACTGCAGGAAGCGTTCGTCCCGAGATCTCTCCAAAGTTGAGTGACGGATGAACAACTGTTGTGTTCGCCGAAAAATCCATTTAACGTCACTTTATACAGTAGTAAAAAATGTTATTGTACATTATATGTGATATCATATTATTGAATGAATCAAAAAGTTATGGTAGGTATAAAATTATAATGTATTCATTATTGTTGCATTTTTTTTTAAATCTTA